ATTTATGTTTGATTTTTGTTTGAGGTTTTATCAGTTTTTTATAATAACTCATGAAAAAGAGTTAATACTATATATTACTATATATAATACTATATATATGCTTTATATATCAAGGTGATACATTACCTGCGCTGCTGTTTTGCATAGATTTAAACCTTAAACATAAATCTTCCTAGTCATAGTCAAAGAAATAGATAAGGATAGAGATAAACTACAATCAACCATCTTCTATATGTGGTTGATCTCAAGTTATACGCCACAAGAGACAATAACTCGCTCATTTATCTAATACAAATCTACAACGAGAACATTGGAATTCGAAGAAATATAGACTGGTAACTGGTAGAAAAGAGAAAAAAAAATGGAGTATGATTAACAACAAAACACATAGCGCATATACAAATAAATACACTAGTACTTACAAGCACCTTAGCAACATGGTCATAGAGAAGCTACAATGAGCCACAGGAAGGGGCAAGCACATCCAAATCCAAATGCCACTCAAAGAATAAGATATATTGAAGAATAAGCTTAATAGGAAAAAATAAAATCCATAAACATGCCTTGCCATTCATGTGGAGACTTCGAAGCCCCTCACAATGCATATCTCAACGAAAAAAATTTCCACCCCAAATCTAACATTCAGCCTGAAAGAAGACAAGTGAGGCTTGATAAGTGTCAAAGCACTGTCCTGAACGAAATTCGAAGCAATCAGGAATATATCAATAAGATGGCACGAAAGAATGAGCTGATGAGAGAATGTCTGAAGCATCTTCTTCTTCTTCTAACAGTTCTCACCATAACTGAATATGCTGGCTCCGCTGGCTAGAAGGGGACGTCTCCAAGCTGCTTGGTCTGACACCAGTACTAATAGAAGCTCTTCCTTTTCCCATCATCTAAGTCCCATATATCGATGGTCCCTCTATATGATCAAAATCATTCCTAACTATATCAATTCAGGTCTTGGCCCTCTTCGCTTTTGATGACCATCACAGGGTTCAGTAAGTAATTAAATATGCGTCAACTCCTGCGCTGGACGATAAAGAACATGCCCTCACCAGTGAAGGCGACGTTTATTATGTGGTAACATTATTAATAGATGTGGTAGTTGAGCAAAGATACAATTATGTGTGATTTTATCCTCTTAACGCGATGCGCAAAATGTATCTTAGATATGAGTGGTCAAAGGCTTCTTCCACTTTCATTGGTCATGTTTCGCAGCCATATAGCAAGATCGAGCGAATTACAACTTTATAAACGCGGATTTTCATCTTTATGGTGGTTTAGCGACGGTTCCATAAAGGCTTCATCAACTATCTAGCTATCGTTATCCAGATTTCAATTCCATTCTTTGCCTGGCCTCTTGGAATTAGAGTGAATCTAAGGTATTCAAAATCAAGCATCAATAGATATTAAAGAAAAATTATTAATACAGGTGGTAGTTGAGCGAAGATTGACCGAGTAGATTAAGTGCCCATGGAATGCAACATCGATAACTGGGATGGCTAGTATTAAGAAATTCTGTCAGTGGAAAAAGCTGGACTAAAAGGCAGCACTGAGACATTAGTCATTACTAGAGTAGATAGGTATCAAGCATCAGAACCATCAAAAAGGAATTTATTACACCAGACAGGACTTATGGTGCAGATTGCAAGAACCAGAAACGGCCCAACATATAGTGGTGCATAGGATGTAAAATGCAAGCAGGAACGGCATACACTGAAAGGCATAACCATATAACTGGTAATGTCTACAGGATATGGCTTAGATTCTCACAAAATCAATTGAAAGATTCCTCAGAAAATCATGGAATATAAAGTTAATATCCTATGGGTTTCCTATTCGGAAAGACGAGCAAATCAATCAATCAGTACGGGGGCAGAATGTTTCAGTGGGTTGTTGCTCAATTGGAAGCGCTGATCCTGAGGTTCGATTCCTCAGGAATAAACCTGTATAAAAATCCGGTGGTGCTGGCAACTCACCTATATATTTCCATTGCCAGTGGTAATAGGAGCTTCAAGGGTCAACTAGTGGTGGTTCCAAAAATTCCAGGAATAAAATATCTATCCAGAAGGGCACACTGACAGGAACAGCTAAAATACCGCGAACAATCCTCAAGCTCCCAGGTCTCTCGTAGAAGATTCGAGATTACCCATACTACTCACAGGGGATGAGAATGGAATATTTTTAGATGTGTAGTCATGAGAATAATAGCAATAAAAAAAAATGGATGCAAATAATAATGAAATCGGTCAAATCCTCTTCTTTTCATCATGAAGAAATTCATTCAAATTTTAAATTTACTTTTTCGACATTTAAATACCAAATGCAAAGTATATGTCTCCAAAAAATGTGTTAAAAATGTGTTTCAGTGCTTTTCAAAAATGTGTTTGTGTATGGGTAATAATAAAATAATAATTAATAATAATAGCAAAATAAGAATAATAATAATTCATTAAATTTTTTTAAACGTTTTAAATATTTAAATGCTGAGATGCATGATTTAAAATTATTGGCAGGTTGAAGAATATATTCATCAATTTATATTCATTTAAACAGTTCGTTATCTAATAGTATGTGGACTGATTAGCTTCACTGTTAAGTGTTTAAGTTGAAAGCATTTCCTAAGAGTGCTACCTGACGACAGAAGTAGCCATCTGAAACTGAATTTTTAATGATACGTCTATCAAGTGACTGAAATTGGGCTCAGAGCCAGTTCTGCTAAAGTGATTTGGCGATTAATGTCCATCAGAACAAATATCGCATAAATATTCAGTTACCCATTATTAAATTGTTAATCAGAGCCGTTTGAGCAATTGGCTAAAAAATAAGGATAAAAAAGCAAATCTAAATTAAACTGCTAAACTTTGATTTAAGCAAATTTCTGACCAAATCAAGCGTATCACAAGCGAGCGACGATAAGAAAGTTGAATATAAGCGATAAATAAGAGAATTATCAACTAGTTTAGCAGTTTTATGAAGTCGAAAGTAGTGTGAATGATTAAATATATTTTGAAAACATTGGTTAATAATGAAGAGGACAATATTGAAGAACGAAGCTGTCTATAGACATCGATTATTCTTTATTGTCCTAGCTTTCTCTCTCTTCGAATCCAACATATATATTTATTTAAGTACTTCAAGGTTATGTCATTCCAGGAATCCTCTTTTTCATTTCTTAAATGTTTTTGCTTTCAGCAATTTGCTAAAATTCAAAATTTGAAGTTTTAAAAACAAATGTTTCCAATCTAAAAAGAAGAGCGCGATCAGACGATCAAATGCATTTTACTACGAACCAATCAATTACCAGAAAGATGATGTAAATCGAGAAATTCAACCGGCTGAGCAAAATTTCGTTAATAATCTTCCCAGCAACTAGCAAATAATTAACCAAGGGAACGAAAATACGTTAGAACCACTAAAATGTTTGTTTCTCGAAAGTTAGATTATTAGAATCATAAGCCAAATATGAATATGAATTGGAAATATGAAATAAGTATCACAGGAGAAACCCTTCATTTAGTGCTTTCTCCTACAGTAGTAAGCATTTTCGATCTGGTTGATTTCAGCAGAATGAGATCATTTCTCCAGAGAGTTATTTGATAATGGAATGTGAATGGGAACCACCCATATTTCACTTTTAATCACCTTGACTGTTTATTTTCTATTTATTGGTTAAAGTTAGCATTGTAAATATTCTTTTCTTAAACATTTTACATTGCCTCTGAGGTTAAATCATAAAATATTAATTAATATATTTAATGTATTGATACAATGATAACAACTCAACCACGTATCTCTTATTGCCTAAAATTTATTTGTACATCTTCAATTTCGCTTAATAAATATCGGCATTATCATTAATATTATATTTTGATGTACGGTTTCGTACTTTGAGACCATAAAAACTTCTCATGATAAACGATGATGCCATTCAACCATTCATACCACTCGATGGACTAGAAAATTGGAACTGCCCAGCCTTTTTCAGAAAATTTTCATTCGAAACCTGTTTGCGGCAAGAAATCTTTTTTGCATTCTATTATCACAAAATTAAAAATAAAACTAACCAGGAAGTTTAAATCTTATGAACAAGCAAACCACTTAACCACTTCTTCCGAATCGTTTTTTTGAAAGGAATTAGGTGAATACCAAAAATCCAGAAATATTACTATTCTTTAATTGAATAACATTATGCACTGCAAAAAATTATAAGAGAAATGCCTCCTTCGAAAAAAAGTGGAACCTTATGGAGAAAATACCTTTTTACCTCTAGTGCTGTTTTTTGTTTTAAGAGTCCTCGCCATTACTGTTCAAATTCCTCCGCTGACTTGTCGCATTGGACAAATATGGCAGAAGTCCCTTGGCTATAGAAATACAGGTGAGCCGCCAGCATCACTCTAATACTGCCCAATGCAAACACAAATATTTTATCGATTACAACAACCCACACAATTTCCACGAATTCGTGGTAAATTAAGAAATATTTATATAAAACAATTATAACCAATCTGATCATAACGTCCTAAAAAAATTCTATATTATCATTTTCAAAAATATTTCAGAAGCCGTTTTGTCCATTTGGTTTAAAATGATACGTTCCCTAAAATAAATACGTTTCTGCAAAATCATGATCACTATGACCTTATGAGCGATCCATATGCCTTATATGATAATCGTAAAGCAACTTGCGAAAGAGAAAAGAATTCGACTAAAAAAGAATAATTCATTCAATAACTAAATAGAGGCAGTTCATATAATATATATAAATATATCAAACAAATCCGAAATAAAAAATGGAAAAAAAATATTTAACGAACAAATGATAAAACAACTAAAAAAAACATGCGAAATATACAGAAATTTACAAAATCTGATGAACTCAACATTTTCGATCTTTTTATGAACATTTTCAAACTTGCCCGAGAAAATAAAAGCGCACAGAGAAAAAAACAAGGTAAAACAATAATGAAATAAGAAGGATGGACAAATAAGCAGAATTAAGAAGGCCACTTTCTTTTGCTTATCCGACCTGTTTCGACCAATTCTTTTACTTCATTGCCTGACAATGTTTCGAATTCGAGAAGAGCCTCAGCCAGAAGTTGATGTTCTTTCTAAAACTTATGCACAATTAACGAATTCAAAAAGTCATGTATTATTTGAAACAAATAATGAAAATTTCATAAAAACCTTGTGTTTTACAAGCAGATCTTTTGTTCGAGCATAAGACTCCTGTAGAATGCGATTAATTTCTTGATCAATCAATTCGCGCGTTTTTTGGCTGACAGGATCGATAGGTGCCAATGAGCTGCCTTCTTTAAGTGTAAAATCTCTTACACCTACCTAAATTTTATTTTTATTCAGAAAAATTGAAAATTAATTCGACAATATATGATATATCTTCCATTTCGAAAGCTTATCAAACATAAAATATTCACTTTTTCTGCTACTATCAAATAATAATAAAAATCAAATCAGCAAAAAGGAAACCTTTTCACTCATTCCAAATTTTTTTACCATATTCGTGGCTAAAATTGTTGCGTCTTTGAAATCAGATGCAGCACCACTTGTAATATTATTGGCACCAAAAGTAATCTCTTCTGCCACGCGACCACCCATCATGACATCAAGTTCAGCTAGCATTTGAGCCCGAGTGAAGTGATATTCATCTTTTTCAGGCATAAAGGATGTCTAGATATATTAAGATAAAGATATATAAGTTAGAACACGCAATAAAAATTTTTTAGCTCCATGAAAATAAAGAAAAGCAAATAATATATTTATTCAAAAAATAATGAACATGAAACGCACGAATCCAAGTGCCTCTCCTCGCTGAATAATAGTGACTTGATGAAGAGAAACAGCTTCATTTGTAAAAAGACCAATAATGGCATGACCAGCTTCATGATAAGCGGTGATTCGATTCGTTTCTTCATCTGGCAAACGACCACTGGCTCGAGGCGGACCTAAAATTTAAAATAATATATTCATGAAATCAATTTTCTTCTATCTTTCATTACAGGAAACATACTAAATACATAAGAAATACCCATAATTAATCGATTTCTCGCTTCTTCTAGATGGTGCATTTGAACCATTGGCGATCCCTCTATAGCAGCTTTTAAGGCTGCTTGATTAACTACATTTTCAATATCAGCACCAGTGAAACTTGTTGTCGTTTTTGCCAACAAATTCACATCAATACTAGTATCATGAATAATCTTGCCCAAATAGAGACTAAAAACATAAATTAGGAAATAAACTGTTATAACACCGCTGATTTTTCACTTCTGTAGTTGAGCCGATTTTGTTATTTTGCCATTCCATAAAATGAAAATAAATATATAAATATGTCCACTTTTTTCTTTAAATAAGGAAGGCAAAAAAAGAAGTACTTAAAAATATCTTTGCGGCCCGCAAGATCCGGTGGTCCGATATTTGTGCGAAGATCAAAACGCCCTGGTCGTAAAAGTGCTTCATCAAGATCATCAACTCGATTTGTGGCTCCAATAACAACAATTCCTTCACCGGAAGCAAAACCATCCATTTCTGCTAATAACTGAAAATAATTGGAGAAAAAACATAATCATTTTTATCAAGGATATTTATATATTTAAAATAAAACGACCTGGTTTATAGTTTGATTCGCATAAGGGTGAATATTATCTATAACTCGTTTTGATCCCACAGAATCGATTTCATCAATAAATATTATGCAGGGTGTACGTCGTTTTGCTTTTTCTAAAAAAATCGATGCGATGTAATTTTCGAACAACAGCGATAAAGATCAAATGGTATGGTTGCTTTGATGTTTTTCTTACCATGGCACGAATAAAATTCGAATCACCATTAAAAAATTCAGATGGTATTGATCACCTGATTGCAAGTGACTCCCTGGCAAAAAATATAACTGATTGTTCTAACAATTTCAATTATAATATGACCAGAAATAGTAATTTTTTACAACCATTTTTATTTTTACATTCACTATTTCTGAGCAAGATTGGTGTAAAATTTAAAAATTTAAAAATTTTAAAATTAAAAAGAAGATAAACAATGAATCATCTGAATGGTCAACAAGATTCTTTGCAAAAAATGGTACTGAACAAAATACACGAATACATTTAAAAAGCTAGGCCCAGCACACTGATTATATAAAGCAAATTTCACCACTGAAGCTAACGCAAAGCAAAAATACCGAATTATTCTCCAGCTTCAGCTTTCACAAAAAAGCTCACCAATGCCTATTTTTTGAAACAATTACCAAACAACATAGTACAAACCAAAGAGTTCCCTGACTCGTTTTGCCCCTAATCCAACAAACATTTCATCAAATTCTGAACCAGATGTTCGAAAAAATGGAACCTAAAAAAAGTAGTTTTTAATTTTTCATAGTAAAATAGAATGAAATTTAAAAATGAAGAACAAAAATTTAAAAACGGCGAGATATATATATTATAAACAAAGATTTAAAATATCTTACTAGATACCTTTGCTTCTCCGGCAATAGCGCGAGCTAGCAATGTTTTCCCTGTCCCAGGAGGACCTACTAATAGTATTCCTTTTGGTAAACGTCCACCTATCTTTTGATATTTCTTTGAATCACGCAAAAAATCAACTATTTCTTGAACTTCTTTCTTCGCATCGTCCATCTAAACCCATTAATCATAATCATAAATCAACTTATGAATAAATAAAAGAAATCAAATAAAAAAATTGCAAGAAAACTCTGAACTCTGAAATAAACCAATATTAAAATGAAATTGCATTGTTTAAGCGATATGGTTTTCCACTATGAAATGAGTAGAACGAAAAGTTGTAAAGTACTGCGAAAAAAAATATCCCACAGAATGAATGCATGCTGATAAATGAAGTTATGAAGTCAAGAAAAACAAACCCCTTTAACATCATCGAAAGTGATAGTAATATTTTCGGGCTTGATTTCGACACCAGCAGAGAAACCTAGAATATAATCCGATTTATAAAGTTAAAATCCATAGACTGAGATTATTTTGGTAAACAGTAATATATCAACATTTTTTCAAAAACCAAATTTAAAACGAGAAAATGCTAATGAAAATATTGAAAAACGAAAAGCGGAAGAAATATTAAAAAATATAAATTGAATAACTGAAGAAAGAATAGATTTTACTTTTTTGGAAAAAAAGAAGAAGTATATAAATTAACAACAAAGTGGGTACTGTATCCAATATAATACGAAATTTAGATTTAGAATCTTGATCTCTTCCACTTGCAACTCCCCTTATAAAACCTTCCTGTAAATATAAAACTATTTATTCTAACTATTTATTATTTATTTATCCTAAATAACGCTTAATAAATTATAAATGTTTTTCATAATGTTAGTGCAAATGAAAAACACACCGTATAACTCTTTTGTTTATCTTCTGGTACTGCTTTAGCTCCATCCTCATACGAGTTCCATAATGCCGTTGATCGTTGATTGATAGTCTTCGTAACAGTTCTTTCTCTCTTAATTGTTGTAGAAAATCAAAAAACCGTGGAAAAATAACCATGAGGAATCTGATACCATGTATATATATATATATATATAGTTTCTCAATGCTTATAAATTTTTCTGCGTAAAATACCTTATCCAAAGTCCTTCCATTATAAAATTATATTTATCTGAGAAAAGATTTTTTTCCGTTTTTTTTCCTAATATTTTCTTTTTTCTCGCTACCTAACTTAATTCATTAGGTTTTTATACATTTTCTCTCGGTTTAGACTGAAAAATCTATTACGAAAAATCTATTCGTATTAAAAAAATTAAATTCTTTGAGACCCATTTCCAGGTCCGATAAAATAGTATAAAATTATGCGAACCTTCTTCAGACTGAATAATTTTATTTGTGGGAAGATTTTATCCAATAAAGAATTTTTCACATGTTCACTAGATTTTTTTGAACCTATAACTTTTGGAGCCGAACGACTTCGAAAACCACGCTGCTGTATAACTAAAAAAAATCATGAATTCTGAATTCAAAAATCATTCTGTGATATCAAAAAAACATTAAAAGAAATAACAAGAAGAAAGAACTGAACTAAAAATTGAACTGAAATAAAATGAAATAAATAAAAAATATATAAATAAAAAATATATAATCTGAGCTAAAATCAAGCATTTGCTTTCGTGATGTCCATTTCACGAAAATAGATTATTTTTCGTTAAATTATAGTGATTACTAATTTTGACTTAAGAATTTTAAGAATTTCGGTGTATTACAAAGAAGTAGTGCGATATTTTTGTAATAATGAAGTTGATTTTACTTTACAACCAATAATATGCAAAAAAAATTCTCTAAACTTCAAAAAAAATAAAAGCTGCTATTTAAACACTCGAAAAATTACATGATTTCGATGTGGCGGGAATGAATTTTATTACTAATGAATCGCTAAAATTCCAATTCCATGTTAAATTTTTTTTTCGTCGTGAGTATCCTTGATAGAAACAAAAATCTGGAATTTTTGATAAAATAAGCCATAAATCAAACGAAAAAAATTTTAAAAAACCGAGGATAATTTTATAAAAATTAAAAAATATCCAAAAATGGCCGAATTATATTCTTCGGCCAAATATAAAGGGCTCCTGTTCGCTTCCTTGCCAATGAATTTAGTGAAATCCACGTAATAAGAGACTTTCCAATTAATTTCAAAGAATTCCTTAGAGGTTTTACATTCAAATTCTACTAGCCACACTAGAAGAGTTGAATGCAGTCGAAAAGAGGAAAAGAAGAAAAAAAATGATAAAAAAATGAAGAAATTTCTTTATAACTGTCTTATCATAACTATATTTCCTTCTTTATTACTTCGCTATTAATAGGGGATAGAATGGCTTAGTGGGTTGCTGGTCAATTTGGAGCGCCGATACAGAGGTTCGATTCCTCGCGAAAGTAAACCTGTACAAAAATCCGGATGATGCTGGCGACTCACCTATTTCTATCGCAAGGGACTCCCTTGCATATTACCCAATGCGATAAGCCAGTGGAGCGAGTTTATAATACGCTGTGTAATCTTAACTATTCGATAGTCCTCCTATAATGGGATCGTACATCGACATCTTCTTCTATCTATTAAATATTAGCTTAATATTCTCTCTTATCGCCTTATTTTTTAAGAGAAACTATATTTTATTCTCTCTTATCGCCTTATTTTTTAAGAGAAACTATATTTTCTTTTACTGCAAGGATTACCTACACAACTACCTAAGGTGGAAATATGAGTATGCTGAACAGAAATACAAAAAAATAAAATAAAAAGAACCTTTAAGAAGGAAATGAAAGTCATCGGGTTTGGTTCCTTTGAAAAATTCTTTTGGAATATCACAGTGATCAAATAAACGATTTTTCCTATTCGTACTAAAATTCATCGTTGGTAATCGCAAATAAGATGGTAATTCTTGCAAATAGCTCCCTAATGTTATTGTTAGAAATGCCATTTGTATCTGCCTGAAAAAAAATCATAGCGATAAATAATTTTTTTTGTGCAAGAAAAAAGCATTCTCGACATTTTGCATTTAACCAAGATTACCGCACTGCTAGAGTAACCCAAATAAGCAAACATATCGATGAGAGAAGATCTATGTAAAATTAAGATTTTCAGCATGTTGTCGTATATCCATCTGAGCTTGAAAAAAACTGGTTGAAAGCCACTGGCAATCCATCTGCACTATTATTGTCAATTTTCAATTTTCACCGTTTTTTACAAGAAGTCAACCAGAAGTAAACCAGAAATAGTACGAGCTACAGGAATATATTAATTCTAAATTCCCCAAAAACATCTTAATGAATTAAATTTCTAAAACCAAATCGTTATATTTCAATCCTTGTTAATTTAATAAATTATTCTAATAATTACTTCATTATAAAACAATAGCGCAAATAAATAAGCCGTTAGCACTAATAATTTTCGGTCAGATTAGCTCCGCCGTTGCAGTTCCGTTAGCACAGCTAGAAATGTTTACCAGAGAGTCACCTAAACCACTTGGATCCTTCCGTGCATGCATGTCTACTAATATCAGCGACAAGGGTCAGACACTCTCAATATGGTAACCTCACGCACTATCCACGCAGCTATTCCGCCTTTTAGGAACTTTTAAATATTCCAAGCCTGTTCCAAAATTTATTATTTAGCTAATAAATACTGAAAACAACAAGTCTTCATTTCTAATAAAACAAACCACTGATTCCAATAACACTACAAATCGTAATTTCAAAAACTTGCAGTGCGCAAGACAACTTCTAAAATACAGCTGCACAACTTGAAATCACTAATTCGCAGGTGCGGACATTGAATCTAGCGAATATTCGCTAGATGAATATTAAATTATTAAATGTATGTATGCGAAAGATTATTTTCAATTTAAGTTAGAGGTTCTCAGTTTAGAATTCGTTGGTCAGCATAGCTTTTCTCTGCACCAGCCTCCTCCAAAAATCTGGCATTGGCATAGAAGAAACTACGGTGATATGTGCTATAAAACGGTGTGTTATTAGTGTTTTGACACTGTTATAAAAGCGATTGTCATATTACGTTTTAATTTATGCTTATAAATTGCTCGGAGAAAGATCCACACACTTCACTTTGGAGATTTCATTAGAAAGTCAGAAGGATCCTTGGCAATAAGAACGGTCAGAACTCCTGCTGTTTGTTGACTTTTCTGTTTGTTAACTTTTTTGATTAATTTATTAAATTATTAAATTTTTTATAGCAGTTGATAACACGATAATAACAGTTATTATTACCAATAACTCTCTTCATTATTAATGTTTTCATTGTTCTAATGTTATCATTGTTTTTTATTCTTATGAGAGGCTGAATGGTAGTTGCTTTAGTTTGACTGAAATCAAATTTGTTTCGGTTCCCTATACCTTGACGATAGTAAATCTGAAACAATTAAACCCCGACCGTGCAGCTCGTACCAATATTTTCTAGCGAAAATCAGTACAATCAACCGAGCCAGAACCAAGAGTAAGAGAAGGATTCTTATGAAATAAACGTTAGAAGAATGCTAGTAATATTTTTTCTTTTTGGATAGTTTGACACCACATAAATTTAATTATTTGCCTTAATAATAATAAAAATAATAATAATAGTAATAGTAATAAGTATTAATAAATTATAATAATAAACAATAATAAATAACAATAATAATAAAGAAGCAAAATAAATTACAATAAACAATAATAAATAACAATAATAATAAAGAAGTAATGTTTTGTAATACCGAAATAAAAATTTCGTCTGATTAGTCTGATAGAAAAAAGTTTAATTAATTTAAAAATGAAAATTTTAAAATTATAATTAATCACCAAGTTTTGCACAAATGAATCCAAAATAAAATTAACGATTTATAGAAAATGAGAAAAGAAAAATGGTTGAGTGATAAGGAGAGAAATTTGAAAATTGGTGGATAGGACGACCGGATGATACACCGTTCCGATTAAGATGAAATAATTACATGTTCCACATTTGCCTTTTGAAGGAGTAAATTTTTCATCAAAACTGAAATTCGGGTGGGCACATTACGATTATTTTTATCAATATGTAATTCTCTAACTAAGTCTCATTCTACTAGCCAATAAGATCAGCCAAGCCAGAAATGAACACTTCAGAGGAAAAAGGACAAAAATAAAATTAAAGAGGGAAAAATTTTAGTACCTCGGTTTTTTCTAAAAAATTCAAAAAATTTCCCAATATACAGTATACTTATCCAGTACTGAACGTATTTAAGATCAATATTTTTAAGCAAAGATGCAAAAAATCCATTAAAATATTGCGAAAAGAATATATATTATATTTCTCCAACATCCGATACGGTGTCAAACAGCATATTTCGTACAAATTTACAATCAAAAATTGCCAGTGAATATTGTTCAATCGGTGACATAATAGTATCGTATTTAATATCGCTGAAGTACCAGAGATAAAACTGCAAGGGAAAAACATAAAGTT